GTAGAGAGTGATGTACATGGGAGGAGGGTTCGCAGCGCGGAACTCAGCAGGAAGGGCAGCGCGGTAGCGGGTGTCACTAGCACGGAGGTGGGTAACGAGGTCAGCGACAGTGGGAAAGGAAGCGAGGTCAGGGAAGAGAAACGGTAGCATGAGGCGGCTAAGGGTAGCGGAGGAAGGGGAGGAGTAGCGTGCAACTACAGCGTCGTACAAGGCCTGAGCGGTCTTGCACTGACTAAAGTGGGCACGCTCAGAGGAAGGGAGGTGGCGACGCACAGCAAGACGTGCAGCAGCATCGCGGGTCGCCCACTTGGAGCGAACGGCAGAGTCAGCATCAGCAGGTGGGGCAGGGACAGCGCCAGAGACAAAGTCAAAGAGAGAGACCTCATCTATCGCATCACACAGTAAGTACAGCTGCAGGTCTTCAATCCAGACGGCAAAGTCAATGGCCCTCCCCTCAGCGTCAAAGGTAAGAACATTGGGGGTGGCCATGACAGCAGCTGAAAATCTCACCGGGCTGGGAGAGGCGGGTAGGTCAGCAGCAGAGGAACAGCAGCACGGCTCCGCAGGCGGCTCGGGCGGCGCGGGCGGCTCGGCGGCGGCTCGGGCGGCGGCTCGGCGGCGGTTCGGCGGCGGCTCGGCGGCGGCTCAGGCGGCGGCGGCTCGGCGGCGGCTCGGCTGCTGCTGGGCGGCGCGGGCGGCTCGGGCGTCACGGGCGGCTCGGCGGCGGCTCTGGCGGCTCGGCGGCGGCTCGGCGGCGGCTCTGGCGGCTCGGCGGCGGCTCGGGCGGCGGCTCGGCGGCGGCTCAGCGGCGGCTCGGCGGCGGCTCGGCGACGGCTCGGCGGCGGCTCGGCGGCGGCTCAGGCGGCGGCGGCTGCTGCTGGGCGGATCGGCGGGGCCGCGTAGCAGAGTGGCGGCGGGGCCGCGACCGAAGAGAGCGGCGGGGCCGCGTAGCAGGGGGCGGTGGGGCCGCGTAGCAGAGGGCGGCGAGGCCGCGTAGCAGAGGGCGGCGGGGCCGCGAGGCAGAGGGCGGCGGGGCCGCGTAGCCGAGGGCGGCGGGGCCGCGATCGAAGGGCGGCGGCGGGGCCGCGTAGCAGAGGGCGGCGGGGCCGCGATCGAAGGGCGGCGGGGCCGCTAGGGAAGGGCGGCGGAGCCGCGAGGGGAAGGGCGGCGCAACGGTCCGCTAGGGGCGACACGACGGGTCGCTAAAAAAAAAACGCGCCTCGGGGCGCGGTTCGGTGGGCCCTAGAAGCAGTCCCTAGGAGGGAACCTGCTCTGATTCCATGTGGAAACAAAGAACGAGAATGAAATGACTATGAACGAAGTGAGTACAAATAGGAAACCCTAATTGGGTTGTACCCCCTATGGGATACCCCACTATAGCCTACAGAAACAAGTAAGCTATAAGTTCTGACAAACTGTACCAATTTCGCGTAATTTATGAACGATTTCGTCACATGTGTAGCAGGTGTGTGATTCTAATTCCACTACAACACTAAATTAATGTACTTCCAACGTAATACATACGCCATGTTATGTCTGCATTGTATGTTACTTATCATGTTATATTTTTATAATAAAGATTTGCATGAGTTAAATACGAAAAAAATACAACAACATATTCAGAAATCACAGTAAATGTTTTCACGTACATAAATCTACATCAACTAACACGATAAGTTACACTGGGAACATTTATACAAGATAATGGAATCTCAAACCATCGATGGTAGAGGCAGAATTTCGACCAACCAGAACGTGCAGGCGTGGAGCTTCGCGACTGGCCAAAAACTTCAGAGCTACTTCCAAACCTGTGCCAAACCTACAACTCACCATCCATGCCTCGAAATCAGGTGCGACTTCTCGGACTCGCGCTGGACAACACGCAACCGATACGCCACCAAAGCATCCAAATCGCAAACCATTGGCCAAAGCCAATGGTTTGCAAGTCGAAACGACTAGTTTTACCCAACCAGTTGCTGGCAACTGGTTTCCGATACGAAAGCGAGAAAACATAGTTTGGCGATGACGGATGTTAGTGGCGGATGACGGGGGATGACGGATGGATGTCAGTTGGATGTCGAGTCACTTCGGACACACTGCCGGCGACATAACTGCCCGAAAAAAAGCCGGCCGGCACTGTTGGCACCGGCAGGGGCAGACCAGAGAAAATGTTAAATGTTCAAATTTGAATCTAACGAATTTCGCTAACATGTTTCGTCAACCCGTGCAGTCACAAAGGACGGTCGTTTGCCAAGAGATACTTTCGCCATGTTTCCCCCTCAAAATTTGTTAAAAACTTTGGGCTCGTTGACTGCCTCGTTGACCAGCCCGATGTCACTATTGGCGGCACCCTTGACTGTAATGATTACACATGGCTGGATGACGGATGGATGTCGATCGGATGTCAAATCACTTCGGACACAACGCCGGCCTGTAAATTCTCACCTACCTACCTTGACATCCGTCGACATCCGTCGACATCCATCGACATGTCACTTCGGACACGCCCTAAAACATTTGCGACGGCCACTCTAGAATGTGCGTGTGAGAAACATGGAGCTACCAACCATTGCACCCATGCGCCTCTGATATCACTGAAAGCCATCGCTGTAACATTGCAGCAGCCGAATGCTGCCACCTGCAATGCAGGTGAGCGGAAGTCAATCGTAACAGTGCAGCAACTCAACTCCAAGAACAGTGCATGTGGGCGGTGTCAAACTTATACGATATAGCCTGTGTAGGCTGTAGCGGGCTAGACACTAAGGGGTACACAATTATAGAGTTTCATATTTGTATCACTTTCATTCCTTAGTCAATCCATTCTAATTCTTTCTCATGGTATCGAGCACGTTCCCTCGTGGGAACTCTTCCTAGGGCCCACCAAGATTTTTTTTCCTACCCGGGGCGCGTGCCGCCCCTGCCCGAGTCGTGCCCTTCTTAGCGGCCCCTCAGGCCCCGTCGCTGCCCTCTCTAGGCCCCGCGTAGCCCCTTAGCGGCCTCGTCGCCACCTCTTACGGCCCCGCGACTGCCCCTTACGGCCCCGTCACCGCCCCTTACGGCCACGTCGCCGCCCCTTACGGCCCCGTCGCCGCCTCTTTCGGCCCCGTCGCCGCCGAGCCGCGACCCCGTAGCCGCCCTTCGCGGCCTCGTCGCTGCCCTTCAGCGGCCCCGTCGCCGCCCCGTCGCGGCCTTGTCGCCGCCCTTCAGCGGCCCCGTCGCCGCCTCTCAGCGGCCTCGTCGCCGCCCTTCAGCAGCCCCGTCGCTGCCCCTTAGCGGCCTCGTCGCCGCCCTTCAGCAACCCCGTCGCCGCCCCCTCTGCGGCCCAGTTGCTGCCCTTCGCGGCCCTGACGCCCTTCCTCGGCCCCTCAGCCGCCCTTCCCGGCCCCATCGAGCAGCCGAGCCGCCGTCACTGCCGAGCCGCCGAGCTGCCGAGCCGCCGAGCCGCCGAGCTGCCGGGCCGCCGAGCCGCCGAGTCGCCCTGCAGCCGAGCCGCCGAGCCGCCAGGCCGCCGAGTCGCCCTGCAGCCGAGCCGCCGCGCCGCCACAGCCGAGACGCCGCTGTCCCTGCAGTCGCGGCCCTGTCCCTGCCGGCATGCTTCGGCCCGCCCCACCTGCCTGGTAAGAGCAGCGCCTCTGCCACTGCACTGCCCTACCCCACTGCTCTCTCTGCCAGTCTACTACTGTCATGGCCACCCCCAGCGTTCTCACCTTTGACGCTGAGGGTCGGGCTGTTGACTTTGACGTTTGGGTAGATGATCTGCAGCTTTTCCTACACTACGATAGGGCAGACGGTCTCTCTATGTTTAACCTCACCTCTGGTGCCTCTCCCGCCCCTGCTGCTGATGCTGACCCTACTGTTCGCTCACAGTGGGCCACGCGCAATGCTGCTGCCCGCCTTGCTGTGCGCCGCCACTTACCGACCGCTGAGCGCGCGCATTTTAGTCAATACAAGAGTGCTAAGACCTTGTACGACGCTGTCATTCCATGCTACTCTTCCCCTGCCACTGCTGCCCTTAGCCGCCTCATACTACCGTACCTCTTCCCTAACCTCGCCGCTTTTCACACAGTCGCTGACCTCATCACGCACCTTCGCACTAGTGACATTCGCTACCGCGCTGCGCTTCCTGCTGAGTTCTGTGCCAAGAACCCCCCCCCTGTGTACATCACCCTCTACTACATAGTCACCCGACTCTCGGACACCCTTTGCTCGGTCAGGGACCACTTCCTCTTTGTTTGCCCCACTACCCTCACCATTGACCTCCTCGAGGAGCGCCTCCTAGCAGCAGAAAAGAGTATAGTCGCTGTAGGAGCCTCTCGTGGTGACCCTCGTACCCAGTATTTGAGGGGTGCTCCCCCTCCCCCCTCTTGCCCTCTGTTGCCTCTGCTGCTGCGGCCGACCTCGTTGGTCTTGAGTCGGTCGGCGCGGCGTCTGCCCCTAGCGGGAGACGCCGCTCAGGCAAGGGCAAGGGGGGCAAGGGCGCTGGAGGAGCTGGCGGGGGCGGTGGAGGCGGCGGAGGGGGTGGGGGTGGCGGTGGGACTAGTGGTGGGAGTGGGGGCACTAGTGGCGGCAGAGGAGGCGGAGGAGGGGGCGGTGGTGGCGGTGCGAGCGGAGGTGGTGGAGGTGGAGGCGGTGGTGGAGGTAGCGGCGGAGGAGGTGGAGCTGGTCGGGGCGGCTCTTCGCAGAGTGTCGGCTCCGGTGGTGGTCAGCGCCAGCAGTAGCAGCAGCAGCAGCGCACTCGTGAGACCACTTCCCCTCAGCAGCTTCGTGAGTGGTACACTGCTCGTCAGCGGGGTGCTGGCCCTTGTACCTACGTTCTACGTACAGGCGACCGCGCGGGGGAGCAGTGTGGGGGTCTGCACTCCACCCAGCGCTGCTTCGGCCGTCTGACGGACGCTTGGCGTCATCAGTTCCCCGACGCTATTGAGATCCCTCGCTGGGGCGAGCTGTCTAGGGCGGGTGTTGAAACCTTTGATCTTGATTATGATGCTATTCTTGCTGCAATGTATACTTTGACTATTAGTGATGAGGGTGACTGTTACCAGTGTTTTCCGCCTGACCCGGGCATTGAGGCTGCTGCTCTAGGTGCTGGTGAGGCTGCTGCTCTAGGTGCCAGTGAGTCTGCTGCCCCAGGTGCTGGTGAGTCTGAGCTCTCAGGTACCGCGCCGGCTCCGGCCACCCACACCTTCACTCTTGACTCGGGTGCTTCCCGCTCCTTCTTTCGAGACCGCACCACGCTTACGCAACTTAGTCGGCCAGTGGCAGTCTCCCAGGCAGACCCCTCTGGGGGTCCTGTCCTTGCCCACTTCTCCACTGTTCTACCGTGTCCGGCGGCCCCTTCTGGAACCCTGTCGGGTCTTTACCTCCCCTCGTTCTCTACGAACTAGGTGAGTGGTGCTGACCTCCAAGATGGAGGGGTTCACCAGTTCACTCCTGCGGGTCAGCGGGTGACCTACTGTACCTGTGCTCAGACGGGCCGTCACTTGGCCACGTTTACCCGTTAGCCGGAGTCGAGCCTGTACACACTGACTACTTAGTCTCCTCCGGTCGCTGAATCTGCTCAGGTAGCCGCGTCGGGTCAGGTGTTTGCTGCGGCGTCCAGGTCTGGTCCTGAGTCTGCCCCCTGCTCGTGTCGTCTCCTGTCTCACCAAACTCTCCTCTGGCACCACCGCCTTGGTCACCCCTCCCTGCCTCGTCTTCGAGGCATGGCCTCCCGTGTCCTTCTCTCTAGTCTCCCCCGGTCCCTCCCTCCCCTTCCTCCGGGGCCTGCCCCCACCTGCGTTCCCTGCGTCGAGGGGCGGCAGCGCGCTGCTCCTCACTCCTCCGAGTTTCCTCCGACAGAGGCTCCGCTTCAGACGCTTCACATGGACGTGTGGGGCCCAGCCCGCGTCCGTGGACAGGGTCACGAGCGTTACTTCCTGCTGGTGGTTGACGACTACTCGCATTACACCGCAGTCATCCCCTTGCGCAGCAAGGGTGACGTCACTGAGGTGTTGATTGCCTGGATCTGCGCAGCTCGTCTCCAGCTCAGAGAGAGTTTCGGCTCGGACTTTCCTGTTCTACGTCTGCACTCTGACAGAGGAGGAGAGTTCTCCTCTGACCTTCTGCGAGCCTACTGTCGTGCACGAGGCATCCGCCAGACCTTCACGCTTCCGGACTCTCCGCAGCGAAATGGGATTGCTGAGCGCCGCATTGGCATGGTCGTGGACGTCGCTCGTACGCCCATAGTCCATGCGGCTGCCCCCCATTTTCTGTGTCTGTTTGCGGTTCGGTACGCGGTGCATTAGATCAACCTTCAACCCCGGGTCTCCATGACGGAGACCTCCCCTGCTTTGCTGTGGACAGGGAAGGTTGGCGATACGTCTGCGTTCCATGTCTGGGGATCTCGGGCGTTTGTCCGCGACTTGTCTGCGGACAAGCTGTCCCCCCGTGCTGTTCCCTGCGTCTTCCTTGGCTTCCCCCCTGACGCGCCGGGCTGGCATTTCTACCACCCCACCTCGCGCCGTGTTCTGTCCTCCCAGGACGTCACGTTTAACGAGTCGGTTCTCTACTACCGTCTCTTCCCCTACCGCACTGCGTCCCTCCCCCCCCCGCCGCTCTTCCTTACGCCAGGTCCCCCTCCGGTAGACCCCCTCCCCCCTTAGGGTCCTGCCCCCTCACGTGTGTCTCAGGTTGACGCAGTCGACCCTGTCGAGGTAGCTGTTGACTCTGGTGCTGCTAGGGGTGCTGAGCCTGCGGGTGCTGGGTCTGGGGGTGCTGACTCTGGGGGTGCTGAGCCTGGGGGTGCTGACTCTGGGGGTGCTGCGCCTGGGGGTGCTGAGCCTGGAGGTGCTACGCGTGGGGGTGCTGCGTTTGGGGGTGCTGAGCCTGGGGGTGCTGCGCCTGGGGGTGCGGAGTCTGGTGTGGCGTCTGGCGGTGCTGGGCCTGGAGGTTCTTCGGGTGCTTTGTCCCGGCGAGAGCTACTCTCTCCACACGAGCTGCGTGAGTGGTTTGCCCGGCGCTGGAGGCGAGCTGCTGGAGCTGGAGGTGCTGCGGGTGCTGGAGGTTCTGTTGCTGCTGAGGGTGCTGGTGCCGCGGGTCCCGGAGGTGCTCGTACTGGGAGTCCTGGAGCTGCTGGTACTGCGGGTGCTTCTCGTACTGGAGCTAGTGGTGGTGCGCGCGTCGGTGCTATTGAGGGTGCTGGAGCTGGACCCGCTGCGTCTTCTGGTGGGCCAGCTGGAGCTGGAGCTGCCGGGGGTGTTGGCGCTGAGGGCGCCTCTGGTGCTAGTGCCTCTGAGGGTACTGGAGTTGGCGCTGTTGGAGCTGGAGGTGCTGCTGGCGCTGGTGCTGCCGCTGGGGGTACTGGTGCTGTCCCTGCTGGTTCTGGAGGCGCTGCGCGGCCGAGGCCGTACTTCGTTCCGCTCCTTGAGCAGGTTCTTGGTCTTCTACCCTCCGCTGGTCCGGCTCCTCCCTTAGAGTGTCCACCGCCTGTCCAGTCCGAGTCACAGTTACAGCCTACCTCTCCTCCGCCTGCTCCTTCTCCCTACACTGGTCCTACTGGAGGTCTTACTGAGCGTCGTGAGCCTGCGTCTCGTCCTGCGTCGCCTGTCCGTGCTGCTCGCACTAGTAGTCATGGTTCGCGTCAGCGTCCTCCCCCTGTCCCTGGCACGCACCGGATGTCTCTGCGTCCCTCCACTGCTCCGCTGCGTGCCCCTTTGCCTTCTCCTCCTGAGTCCCCTCTTCCTGTTCTTGCTGACCCGGATTCGGACTCCCTTCGTGCTGCCAGTCCTACTGTCACGCGTCTCCTTTCTACTGTCGTCAGTGACCCTTCCTTTGAGTCCGCTGCTGCGTCTGCCTTAGTTTCTGAGCTTGTCGACTTCGCTGCTCACTGTCGCCTAGATTACGCTGCTAGTCTTGTCGCTGAGTCTGAGTCTGTCTATCCTCCGTCCGTCGGGGGTGAGTGTGCCCTTGGCACGGACGTCCTTGAGGACAGGCAGGAGGAGTTCCAGTGCTTTGCTGCTGCTTCACCTCATCTCGTGACCATGCTGCTTGACCCTGAGGGAGACCCGAATGCACCAGACATCCCGACTCCGCGCTCTTACGCGGAGGCGATAGAGGGTCCCTACTCCTCTAAGTGGCAGGCAGCCATGGATGCACAAATGGCTTCCTGGAAGTCCACAGGCACCTACGTCGACGAGGTTCCCCCTCCTGGGGCGAACATCGTCAGTGGCATGTGTATTTTCAGGGTGAAGCGGCCGCCGGGTTCTCCGCCTGTCTTCAAGGCGCGCTACGTGGCTCGTGGCTTCAGTTAGCGGCAGGGAGTCGACTACTTTCAGACCTTCTCTTCCACCCCGAAGATGACCACTCTTCGGGTACTGCTGCACATAGCCGCTCACAGTGACTACGAGCTTCACTCTCTTGACTTCAGCACTGCTTTCTTGTGGGGCAGCCTGCACGAGGAGATCTGGCAGCGCCGTCCACCTGGCTTCACTGGGTCTTTTCCTCGTGGTACCCAGTGGAGCCTCTGACGGCCAGTCTACGGTCTCCGCCAGGCACCTCGTGAGTGGCACGACACACCGAGGACTACACTTGCGGCTCTTGGGTTTGCTCCTTCTACTGCCGACCCCTCGCTGTTTCTGCGCACCGACACTTCTTTGCCGCCGTTCTACATCCTCGTGTACGTCGACGACTTGGTCTTTGCCACAGCTGACACTGCTGGACTCGCCCACGCGAAGTCCGAGCTGCAGAAGAGACACACGTGCACAGACCTGGGTGAACTGCGCAGCTACCTTGGCTTGCAGATCACCCGCGACAGAGCACAGCGCACCATTACCCTGACTTAGTCACACATGGTGCAGCAGGTCCTTCAGCGCTTCGGCTTCACGTACTCCTCGCCTCAGGCCACTCCTCTGTCTACTCGCCACTCGCTCTCAGCTCTGCCTTCGGATGAGTCCGTAGAGTCGAGTGGCCCGTACCCAGAGCTTGTTGGCTGCCTCATGTACCTGATGACCTGCACTCGACCTGACCTTGCATACCCTCTTAGCATTCTGGCACGCTATGTTGCTCTTGGGAGACACAGACCAGAGTACATGGCTGCAGCGAAGAGGGTGTTGCGCTACTTGTGCAGTACGTCAGGCATGGGGCTTGTGCTTGGAGGGCGGAATCCAGTGGTCCTCACTGGTCATGCAGACACTTCTTGGGTTGACGACCAGGCTACACAGCGGTCGTCACAGGGTTATGTCAAGAAGTGAGAATGGAATGGATGAACTATGAAACAGTTGGGTACAAGTACTAACCCTAATTGGGTTGTACCCCTTATGGGCTACCCCACTACAGCCTACACAAATGTATAAGCTATAATGTTCTGACACACCCCCATAGGCAAAGTGGGGGAGAACAAGTGGTCACAAGACCAGTCAAGCAAAGCAAAGCAAAGCAAAGCAAGCTCAGGATGGATCACAAAGTCACCACACAGTCCAAGCACAAGAGTAAGGCCACAAGGCCAGTTCACATGCAAAGTCATATATATATCGGTAAAACAAGCAAGGGCACGTAAAGAAAGAAGACAGTATAAACAAGATCAAGAAGTGAGCAAGTGAGGCCAGGTAGGCACAAGACCTAGCACAGTACAGAAGCGCTGATGATCACAAGGCGGAAGGGCCTTGGTGTAGATATCAGCACTGTTGGCCTCAGAGGCCACGTAGGTGAGGCGGAGCTGGCCACGCTTCTGCAGCTCACGAGACAGGAAGTAGCGGAGAGCAATGTGCTTCGTTCTGTGCTCCAGTCTGTGCTCCTGACACAAGACCAGCATGGCCTTGTTGTCTACGTACAGAACTGGAGGAGAACGAGGCGGCTCTCCTAGGTCAGTCAGCAGGTAGGTGAGCTAGCGTAGCTCCTGTGCAGCCATGGCCCCGGCGTAGATCTCAGCCTCACAACTGGAGCCGAGAACAGAGGACGAGCGAGTAGACCGCCACGAAACAGAGCCGGAGCCAAGGCTGAAGGTGTAACCCTGTGACGACCGCTACGTAGCCTGGTCGTCACCCCAAGAAGCGTCAGCGTGACCTGTGAGGACTACTCGACGTCGCCCTCCAAGCACTAGCTCCATGCCCGACGTACTGCACACGTAGCGCAACACCCTCTTCGCTGCAGCCATGTGCTTTGGTTGGTGTCTCCCAGGAGCAACATAGCGTGCCAAGATGCTAAGAGGGTATGCAAGGTCAGGTCGTGTGCAGGTCATCAGGTACATGAGGCAGCCAACAAGCTCTGGGTACGGGCCACTCGACTCTACGGACTCATCCGAAGGCAGAGCTGAGAGCGAGTGGCGAGTAGACAGAGGAGTGGCCTGAGGCGAGGAGTACGTGAAGCCGAAGCGCTGAAGGACCTGCTGCACCATGTGTGACTGAGTCAGGGTAATGGTGCGCTGTGCTCTGTCCCGGGTGATGTGCAAGCCAAGGTAGCTGCGCAGTTCACCCAAGTCTGTGCACGTGTGTCTCTTCTGCAGCTCGGACTTCACGTGGGCGAGTTCAGCAGTGTCAGCAGTGGCAAAGACCAGGTCGTCGACGTACACGAGGATGTAGAACGGCGGCAAAGAGGTGTCGGTGCATAGAGACAGCGACGGGTCGGCTGTAGAAGGAGCAAACCCAAGAGCCGCAAGTGTAGTCCTCAGTGTGTCGTGCCACTGACGGGGCGCCTGGCGGAGACCGTAGACTGGCCGCCGGAGGCTCCACTGGGTGCCAGGAGGAAACGACCCAGTGAAGCCAGGAGGGCGGCGCAGCCAGATCTCCTCGTGCAGGCTGCCCTGCAGGAAAGCAGTGCTGAAGTCAAGAGAGTGAAGCTCGTAGTCGCGCTGAGCGGCTATGTGCAGCAGCACCCAAAGAGTGGTCATCTTCGGGGTGGAAGAGAAGGTCTGAAAGTAGTCAACTCCCTGCCGCTGACTGAAGCCACGAGCCACGTAACGCGCCTTGAAGACAGGCGGAGAGCCCGGCGGCCGCTTCACCCTGAAGATCCACATCCCACTGACGATTTTCGCCCCAGGTGGGGGAACCTCGTCGACGTAGGTGCCTGTGGACTTCCAGGAAGCCATCTCTGCGTCCATGGCCGACTGCCACTGAGAGGAGTAGGGACCCTCGATCGCCTTAGCGTACGATCGAGGAGTCGGGATGTCAGGTGCATCCGGGTCTCCCTCAGGGGCAATCAGCATGGACACGAGATGGGGCAAAGCAGCCGCAAAGCACTGGAACTCCTCCTGCCTGTCCTCAAGGACGTCCGTGCTAAGAGCACACTCACCCCCGACGGACGGAGGACAGACAGACTCAGACTCAGCAACAAGACTGGCAGTGTAGTCTTGACGACAGCGAGCAGCGAAGTCGGCAAGCTCAGCAACGAGAGCATAGGCAGCAGCAGACTCAAAGGAAGGGTCTGTGACGAAAGTAGCAAGAAGGCGCGTGACCGAAAGACTAGCAGCACGAAGGGAGTCAGATTCCGGGTCAGCAAGAGAAGGAAGAGGGGACTCTAGAGGAGACGGCAAAGGGACACGCAGAGGAGCAGTGGAAGGACGCAATGCCATCTGGTGTGTGCCGGGGACCGCAGGAGGATGCGGACGCGCAGTACGACCACTAGTGCGAGCAGCACGAACAGGCGACGCACGACGAGACGCAGGCGCACGACGCTCAGCAAGACCTCCAGTAGGATCAGTGTAGGGAGAAGGAGCAGGTAGAGGGGAGGCGGGCGGTAACTGTGACTGCGATTGGACAGGCGGTGGACACTCTAGTGGAGGAGCAGGACCAGTAGAGGGCGGGAGACCAAGAACCTGCTCCAGGAGCGGAACGAAGTACAGCCTCGGCCGCGCAGCGCCTCTAGAACCAGCAAGTACGGCACCAGTACCCCCAGCGGCAGCACCAGCGCCAGCAGCACCTCCAGCTCCAACAGCGCCAACTCCAGTACCCTCAGAAGCACCAGCGCCAGCAGCACCGCCAGCGCCAACATCCCCAGCAGCTCCAGCTCCAGCAGCACCAACTCCGGTAGGACCGTCAGCACCAGTAGAAACACCAGCGCCAACACCCCTAGCAGCTCCAGCTCTAGCAGCACCAACTCCAGTAGGACCGTCAGCACCAGCTGCCTCAGCAGCACCCCCAGACGCACTAGCACCAGTAGAAACACCAGCGCCAACACCCCCAGACTCAGCAGCACGTCCCAGCGACAGGCGAACCACACGCGCAGCTCCTGTAGAGAGAGCGGCTCCCGCCTCGCGAAGTACCGCCGGCGGCCACACGAGCAGACCCAGCACCCCCAGGCTCCGCACCCCCAGACTCAACACCACCAGGCTCAGCACCCCCAGACCCAGCACCCCCAAACTCATCACCCCGAGACCCGGCACCCGCACACCTGGCACCCGCAGGCTCAGCACCCCCAGACCCGGCACCCGCAGACCCGGCACCCGCAGGCTCAGCACCTCTAGCAGCACCAGAGTCTACAGCTACGTCGAGAGGCTTGACTGCGTCTACCTGCGACACACCTGAAGGGGCAGAACCCTGAGGTGGGAGGGGCTCTACATGAGTAGCACCTGGCGCAAGG